CCGAAACTCTCCAGGAGAAAACGAAGGATCATTGGCCAACGTATCCGCGAAATCCGCTGGAAGCGCCATAGCCAAACAATGATTGGCTTATTTGACAGGCGGACGTTCCGCCGGTTGAGCAGCCCAGCAAACTTACCATCAAGGACCAAATGTCCTCAGTTAGCCCCCAGACGCCCCAGCTAAAGCTCAATTCGGGAGGTCGAGTCGGTCGCATACTGGCAGAGACGTGATGATAGCTGCTTCACGCGTTGGATGCGCATAGGGGACTCCTCCCGCGAAGATCTGCTTTTGATAAGAACGATATTCTGATGAGCCGAAAAATGAAGCCAACACATTTCGTAGGCGACACAGGCTCATACCCATATGTCGCTCGCCTCGGTGTTGCGTATTGCCTCATTCCTCTCAGGGTCAAACAGTTCGAGAGCCATCTAACTGTTCCTCCCTTCGATCCTTCGGAGGACAGCGACGTCCATGCAAGAATCTCCTTGTCCAAGATGGAGGAGAGTCTGAAGTCTGCAAGACGTGCTCTACCTGCTTTGTTCACGCGAATGTTGGGCTATTTTAAGTCAGATCACCATTAGGCCTAAGGTAATTCTGGCAGCGGAAGGGCGGGCAAAACTCTCTCCTTTCAGGTCCCCGTGTATAACTCCATTCTCGGGCAGGAACTCCAGACTTTGTGCGGTGTCGTACGCCTGCAGATTTGAGAGTGAGGTGTAGATAGCGTGATAGAACGATGAGTACGTACTAACACGACACGATTTGAGGATTGATTCCGCCTAAGATATTCACCAATATCTCCATTCTCCATCCACGGAGTAACGAACCGAATTCTGCCATCATGAGAATATATACCATAAAACGGTAGGAGGTTGGGCTGGCACAGTTGACTCCAAAGTATTGCTTCTCTCGAGATGACCTACAAGATATTATTTCTACAACAAGAACCCGTTGCGTTGAATGTGAACCTTCATGAAATGAGCCATATCTGTATTCTTGTACAACCTGATTATTTTAATGCAAACCACCTTGACCACGAAAGTCCCCTTTGTAAATGTCAGCAAAGCCTTTTGAGCTTTCTGAAGTCTTGGAGATGGTAATGTTAGTCAATTTATAGGAGGTTGGATGGAGTCCTGAAGTACCTGCGAGCCTTTGGGTCGCGACGATGAGGTGCCCTCTGGAAGTCCGACGGGGGATCGACTGCGGTATTTCAGAGCTAATAACGAGCTAGTATTGGTAAAATTGATCTTAAGATAATGAGATGTACTTGCACGTTGAAACATATCCAACAGCTTTTGAGCATTGTTCTTACCATCGAGAAGCTTTTTATACTTGTTCTTGTTTCCGAAGAGGGCTCTCAGGTAGTTAATCAAAACCTTGATCTGCCAGTGGTGGGTATTTCAATGTAAAGATCCCATCTTTCATGAAGAAATACAGACCTTGCCTTTGTCACTGAGAGTGGGATAAAAAGAGGCAGCAGAATGCACGTAGGGAATAGATTGTCCGCCGGCGGTGGGTGAAATGTCCTCTTCCGTACCGGTTTCATTGCCGCTAGATGGCTCTGCGACTTGATTTCGGACTCGGAGTCGAGGCCTTTGGCGGCTCCTACGAACGTTCGGGGTATTTTGGTGGCGAACCTCGTTTTTCTTATCAAGAGTGAGCTTAGACGAAACAGGGGAAGGCACGGGGACACCAGATTGTGCGCCGCGGTGAGGGTTGGCAGGCCAAGTATCCTCTTCCGTGTTGGTCAGATCTATACCAGATAGCCCTGCAGAATTGTTTTGTTGAGTCTCACGCTCCCTTTGATGGCTTTCATGAGCAGCCAAGGTACGATGACGCTTATGCCTGATATTCCCACTCTCAGTGGCGCTGGCACCAGGTGTAGGCCCATCAGAATCCTCGTTCCTCTTGCTGAACGCTGTCGACCGTGGTCGCTTCGAGTTTTCAAGCTCGCCCAGCACCGAAGGGTAGCTCCCTGTTCGCTCTTCTCCGAGCTGTAGGAGCTGTAGCTGACGGCTCCGTATACTCGACAGAAGGAAGGATAGCAACGTCAGTTATCGCGTCAAAGAACCTTTGAAAATTAGGCCCATACAATCCTGGAGTAATCTCACAATATGGTGGTTGGCGTAGATCTGGGAGGTGTCAATTACAAGCTCAGGAGACGCTGCTAAGGAAGCGACAGGGACAGCATTGGAAGATGTGGGAAACAGGGGTGGGCGTAAGGTGGACGTTGCAGTAGAAAAGGAAGGGAAGGGGGGAAAGCTGGGAGCGACGGAAGCAACATTTGGAAGACTGTAGGTGTAGGGAACGAGCGATGTCATCGGTGAAGCGACGGACGCGCGTATGCGACCGATTAACGATTTCGTGGCTGCTCTAATTCTACGATAAATTGATACAGGTTTGGGCCTGCTATCGTCCAAGTTGCGACTGATTAACGATTTTGTGGCTGCTCCAATCCTACGATAGACACAGGTTTGGGCCTGCTATCGTCCGAGTTGTCAAAGGAGGATGCATCATTGAGAAGAGGAGAGAAGGCAATGGCCCTGGGATCCTTTGAAAGCTGGCTGTGATATAGGTCTGGCCCTTCCAGTTGGGAAACAATCTGAATCCGGGAGAAAGGCCAGTACTGGAAGGCTGTCTGTTATTGCCAGAGATATCTTGTCGGACACATTTGAAGTTGCTCTTGAAATTCTCGAGATCAATATCGAGGTCCCTATCTCCAACAGACTCAGCGACGTCCGCGTTGTTTCTATTCATAGCATTATCCAGGGACTTTTGCAGTATGTCCAGATGCCTCCGTCAGCGTAGACTAACACAACGCTTTGGATTCTGTATCTGTGATACTAGTGGTTGTATGTGTGTATGTCACGGTGTTTGGGGCGGGGACTTCAATGTGGGTACATGGCCGGTGTACTAAGGCTTGGTGAGAAGATGTCAACTGCAAAATTTCTCACCTATGATATTCCGCTGAAGAAATTAATGGGGGTCAAGCTCCTCAGGGAATAGGTGAATTGAAAGCACTAATCGTGGTCCTCCGAGTCAGGCTGGTACTGCTGTGATACTGTGATGAGCAGGCTGTGTGCTGTTCAACTGGCCGGAGAACCGCAATGATAATGCATTGATATATGATGCAAACGGCATGAGATGGAGTGATAAAACCGATAGCACCCCTTCTACTTGCAATCCATCCGAGTCTGACGAGGACACCCAGTTGATGCCGGGTTTGCCGTTCCATGCTGCATAGTAACAAATTCAAATAGGATTTGTACTCACGGTCAGCAGGCAGCTCTTCTCTCATCGCACTAGTACAGAGACACCCGAAGGGCACAAAAAGAATATACGCTCTGCGATAACAGAGCGACATCTTCCAAGAGAGCCTGGATGATTTCCAGCGTGAGTTTGAAGCAGAGGAGGCCCGGCCAGTGGGACAGCGTACACGACGGGACGAATTCGATTATATAATGACCTATAATGACGAACTTTGGCGATGTCATCCTCGAAATGCGCTTCAAGAGGATCGATCGGGAGTCTTTAAAAGAGTGATGGAGCGCGAGAGATCATACCTGTTCAGGGAGAAAGACCATGCACGCGCCTTCAAAATCGACCATGCACGCGCCTTCGAAGTCGACCATGCACGCACCTTCGAAATCGACCAGGGGCGCAACGAGCGAACGGAATAGTATAATGAGGCATGGCAGAGGCTCTTGGCCGACGGTCGCCAGAGATTGAGAGATAAGATCTCAATGCTACCTTGGTAGAACAATTCGACAGGCTTATGACGACCCAAAAGGATGTGCAAGTTGCCGAGGAACGGCCGAGCCCTCAGAACCTTGGACAGCTTCATGCTCACCTCCCCGTGTATACTACACAATCAATGAAATCGCCACCTCAGCCCCAACTACAGTTCCCTCCTAGCCATCCTAGTGTTCAACGCTTGCCCAATTCCTCGAAACAGCCAACGTTTTACCGTCCCATGATCAGCAGGAATCGCCACCTCCGTAGGACCCCTTTTCTGACGTTTTACCGAATCTCATGATCAACAGGAGGAATCCCTCCAATCTCTCGTTGAACATGGCAATCCCGAGCGAAGCACTTCTTAAAGGGTGAGAACGAAAGGGAGTGTTGGTTTCATATATCGGAAGCCGCACGGGAGACTGGAGAGTCGGAACGTCGTGCTATCTTCAATCAACAAGTGGAACAATAGTTGGAAATGTCGCAGGAATCGCGTGAGTTGCAGACAAGGTACTTTAATGATGGAGAAGAGCGCGGGAGGGCAACACTCATCGTTTTGTTGTTTTCGGGAAATGCCCCAAGAGCGACGTTGGCGCGTCTTTGACATGTTGCTATCCTATCGCACATCGTGAAACAAGCAGATATAGAGGCGAATCTAGAGAAGATTTGGTTCGAAGGTCAGAAGAATGTCTCAGCCATGCACCTTCCAGTAACAAGGATCACCGATCGTGTTGACTGCGACTATCGTCTCGAAGAAACCTTTGCTGACTTGAAGAGGATGTAGAAAGTGTTTGAGCGGTCACAGGAGCTGAGAGTAGAAGCTTTTAAGAAGGAACGCGGGGCCCAGTTTGTCAAGGCCCAGTAGAAATGCAAGGAAGTCTTTCGTCATGCCAAAGAATTGCCCGAATTTGTATTTCAGGTCGCTCAACAGCAACGTGAGATTGTATTCCAATATTAGGCGATTTGACAAGAATGAGACTGAAAGAAACGCCCTGGTGAGGAGGGCGCAAGGAGCGACGATTCCGCTCAACGGTAATGACACTGCAAAGGAATTGGAAGCGTGGAGTCAGGAGTTGAAGAACAGAGGGCACTGAGGGGCCAGCAAAGACTGATACAGTTGTCAACTGTTGATATGATACCCGTACATTAGGACGACAATACATGACAATAAGCAATATTCAAAAAGTAATAAGCACCATATATCCTCTCCTACAAGAGCAGCAATCTCGTTGAGACCAAGGGGGAAAAAACTTCTGACATGACAATCACAATAGCAGCAACTCGATTTGAACGAGTAGCCTCGGGGATCTCAAACTCCTGTCGGAAATATGAGCCCGTCGCGCTGTCCACCTGCGCCATGCTGCTGTACAGTAACGTAGGTCCAAACCGTCAAGAGAATGTGAGGCGGAAGAAATGACAGTACCACCGGCATAACTTCATTTCAAGTTAGATGTCGACTCACGCGCCAGACTACTGGTGGTACCCCCGTTCAATCGATTGAGCCCTGGGTACAAAAGAAAGAATTCGGTCACAAGATCAACGATAACAGCAACTTGATTCGAACAAGTGGCCTCATGCCTAGGGAAGTCATAGAGCAGAGACCAATATGGGTCCCCACGCACCATTAGACTGCGCCATGCTGCTGTAATGGTTAGTGCTGCTAGCGTAAGGGGTTGAGAGAATCAGAAGGGTAGTGATTGAAGACTGCAGGCTCAACAGACAGCCCTCTGTTCTGTATGAGCCTCAGTGAGCGGGTAGTACAAAAAGTGGCACTGAGGTTATATGGTATGGACCTCTGCATACTTCCAACGGCATGCTATCTTGTGCTATGTAGACCAGTCTAGGCTGTTTAATATAGAACAGATGACAAGGATAAAAAGGGGTGGAGGATTCTAGAATGAAAGAGCATAACAAGATGGAAAGTAGAGTGCAAATATCAATCCAAACGCCCAAGCTCCAGGACATACCTTTACATATACCGGGTTAGGCCATATGCGCTATCAGACCTCGCTGTGCTGGTGGATAAGCAATAGTACTGGACCCACGTATCCGACGTACACATATACATGTAACATCATTTGCACGCGGTTGGAATTGGTAAGATCAAGTTTTTTTAAAAAAAAGCAATTGATTCGATCCTTCAATTAGTAGCAGCAACTTGTTTCGATCAAGTGACCTCGGGGTTTAACAGCTCTTGAAAACATATATGGGCCCCGCGCGCTTCCAACTGCGC